ACAAAGCAACATGTAGCCATGCATTCACTTACAGTGGGGTCGGTCCAGAGGGAGCATCGTGAACACTCCTGGCAAGGGGCTCCTGGGGAGCGAGGATGCTGGCAGAAGTGGTCATATCCATTGATAGATACTCGACAGAGGTAGCACATTTGGGCACCGCAGCGGCAAGACATGCGGTTGCAGCCTTCTGATTTGATGAGGCCGGTCCCACACTTATGGCATTTCCTAATGCGGGCTGCAGTCATCTTTTCTTCACTAAAAAAAAGAAAACAGGATTGGAGATAGCACGGAAGATGAAAAAGAAAGAAAAATATTATGGCCCTTAAAGTCTTTCTTTCTTTCCACAGATGATGATTGCTTGGCTCTTTTGGTGACATTCGAAGGGTGAAAAGAGCCTATGTTTTGGGCTTCCCTGGTGGTGCAGTGGTTGGGAATCCGCCTGCCAATGCAGGGGACACGAGTTTGAGCCCTGGTCCGGGAAGATCCCACATGCTGCGGAGTAGCTAGGCCCGTGTGCAACAACAACTGTGCCTATACCCTACATCCCGTGAGCCACAACTACTGAGCCTGCATGCTGCAACTACTGAAGCTTGTGCGCATGCAGCCCATGCTCTGTAACGAGAAAGGCCACTGTGGTGAGAGGCCTACGCACTGCAATGCAGGGTGGCCCCCAATTGCCGTAACTAGAGAGAGCCCTCGCGCAGCAACGAAGACCCAACTCAGTCAAACAAACAAAAAAAGGAGCCTATGTTTTGGAGTCTCAGAACTGGCTTCAGTTTTTCAGTTGTATGACCTTGGGTAAATTATTTAACTGCCTCGAGACCCAGTTTCCTCATTTTTAAATTGGGAGAACCGAACTTTCTCATACTGTACTTCAAAATTAATTAATTAATTAATTTTAACATCTCACAGTGTTTTGAGGATTACAGATAAGATACAGAGTACCCTGGGGCAAGTGCCTGGCACCTAGTATTTAGAAAATGATTATTCTATTTGTTATAGGAGTCCCTATAGGCTTAAAATGGAGAGAAAAAACTCAGTGTCTTCCTAAACAATGTTTTTTATATACACAAAGCTGGATAATGGAGAGCCAGTAAACCTTCGTTACATACACACCTTAGGTTTTTTTTTTTTTTTTTTTTTTTGCGTTATGCGGGCCTCTCACTGTTGTGGCCTCTCCCATTTGCGGAGCACAGGCTCCGGACGCGCAGGCTCAGCGGCCATGGCTCACGGGCCCAGCCGCTCCGCGGCATGTGGGATCCTCCCGAAATGGGGCACGAACCCGCGTCTCCTGCATCGGCAGGCGGACTCTCAAGCACTGCGCCACCAGGGAAGCCCCACACCTTAGGTTTTTAAATACATACTTGACATAGGGCTGGGGTAGACACAGCTGGGGGCGATCCAATAGCCACCTATGACTTCTTCCTGTTGGCGGAGCTCACTCCTATGACAAACTGGCATGTTGGAATACTACCTTCTCAGACTCCCTTGCAGCTAGGGGATGGGCACACATATGACTCAATCCTGGCCAATGGGAAGCTTGTAGGGAGGCAACTTGTTTCCAGAAGCACTTTTACTGATATCTAGAGTCAAAATGACAGGTCTTGGCTTGTTTTCAAGAGCTGGCACCTCTGAATTAGTTACTTCTAATGGTGCTGTTCATAACTCTGAAATAACACTTGCCACCTTTGCCTCTAATTGCTTATGTGTGTCTTCCTCTGCTGTGTTGAGTTCCTTAAAGTATAAGGCAGAGGCTACGATGCTTGTACCCAGCTGGCATGAAGAAGTGTATCATCTTGATGGGAAGGAGTCAAAAGGTGTCACTGCTGAGACCAAGAAGAGCATGAATGACCCCAAGCATGGATAGCCTTGAAGGACTCATCCCATTGCTCGAGAACTTCTCTCCTCGCTGGGTACACACACAGTGTGTAACGAGGTAATTGCTTTATTGTAAAGAACGTAATAACGTGGGGATGAGTTCTGATCTGCACTCTCCCTCCTAAATCTGAGGGAATGCAGCCTTCTTCCTTCCACTGCTCCCAGTTTTTCTGCTAATAAGTAAGAGTAGCCAGATGAGCCTGTGGTCAGGCAAGTGTTTTTTTTTTTTTCTTTTTTAAATATACATTTAGGACTTCCCTGGTGGCACAGTGGTTAAGAATCTGCCTGCCAACGCAGGGGACGAGGGTTTGAGCCCTGGTCTGGGAAGATCCCACATGCCGCAGAGCAACTAAGCCCGTGCGCCACAACTACTGAGCCTGTGCTCTAGAGCCTGTGAGCCACAACTACTGAGCCTGTGAGCCACAACTACTGAAGCCCGTGCACCTAGAGCCCGTGCTCTGCAACTAGAGAAGCCACCGCAATGAGAAGCCCGTGCACCGCAATGAAGAGCAACCCCTGCTTGCCGCAACTAAAGAAAGCCTGCCCACAGCAACGAAAACCCAACACAGCCAACATAAATAATAAAATAAAAGATATTAAAAAACATATATATATAAACAAATCCATTTATTTATTTATTTTTGGCTGCGTTGGGTCTTTGTTGCTGTGCACGGGCTTCTCGTTGCAGTGGCTTCTCTTGTTGTGGAGCATGGGCTCTAGGCACGTGGGCTTCAGTAGTTGTGGCATGTGGGCTCAGTAGTTGTGGCTCACAGGCTCTAGAGTGCAGGCTTAGTAGTTGTGGTGCACAGGCTTAGCTGCTCCATGGCATGTGGGATCTTCCTGAACCAGGGCTCGAACCCATATCCCCTGCATTGGCAGGCGGATTCTTAACCACTGCGACACCAGGGAAGTCCAGGCAAGTGGTTTTAATTACTGATATTTAGAAGACTGTTGTAGGATGCTCCTCAGAAGCCAGATCATATGTGTTTAAAAACAGAAAAATACATTAGGAAATTGGCTGCTATTCATTTCATTTAGGTCTAAGTTCTGAACAGCCCAAAATGAAGGCAGGCAGAACTCTGGCCTGAAAAGAATTTAAACCCAGTTCAAGTTACAGAAGAACAAATGAGTTCTAAGTTTTGCTGAACAGGAAACAAGGTCAAGGAGACAAAGTTTTAAAAAAGTAAATTTATTATTGTCAACACTGTACACATGTTCATGATTTCAGTTAGCTCAGCAACCGTGAAGACAGTCCTCAATGTTCCATGTTAAGACTCACAAGGTTCTGGGACTTCCCTGGTGGTCCAGTGGGTGAGACTCCATACTCCCAATGCAGGGGGCCCAGGTTCAATCCCTGGTCGGGGAACTAGATTCCCCCATGCATGCCACAACTAAGAGTTCGCATGCCACAACTAAGAGTCTGCATGCCACAACTAAGAGCCCTCATGCTGCAACTAAGAAGCCCACATGCCACAACTGAAGATCCTGTATGCTGCAACTAAACGTGCCACAGCGAAGATCCCATGTGCCACAACTGAGACCTGGTGCAGCCAAAATAAATAAATATTCAAAATTATTATTATTTAAAAATAAAGTTCTTGTCTTTTATTTTATTTTTTATTATTTTACTAATTTATCCCACCCCGCCCTTTTCCAGCTGCACCGGGTCTTAGTTGAGGCATATGGGATCTTTGTTGAGGCATGCAGGATCTTTCATTATGGCACGTGGTCTCTTTGTTGCAGTGCTCAGGCTCCTCTCTAGTTGTGGTGTGTGGGTTCCAGGGCGTGTGGGCTCCAGAGCGCGTGGGCTCTGCAGTTTATGGCACGCAGGGTCTCTCATTGAGGCGTGTGAGTTCAATAGTTGTGGCGTGCAGGCTTAGTTGCCCTGCAGCATGTGGGATCTTAGTTCCCTGACCAGGGATTGAACTCGCGTCCCCTGCATTGGAAGGCTGATTCTCTACCCCTGGACTACCAGGGAAGTCCCCAAAATTACTATTAAAAAACAAACAAGACTCACAAGGTTCTGATGAAAAAGTTTCCAATCTGAAAAGCTGTGACCAAAACACAATTACAATTTTCTATGGCACAAACTTTCTGTGTACACGCACCCTGGAGACTGAGGTGTGGCTTTAAGCCATTGCACTCTGCCTGGGGCTGGCTCACGTCTTCCCTGGGCAGCTGCTTAGGCTGTAGTGTGGGAGAGGAGTGGCTAAAGAGAACCAAGGTTATACAGTCCTTTCCAGGAAGAGGGTACATTTGCTTGCTCTGTTCCACCAAGCTGTCAGTCGCCAATGTGAAATAATACTGGGTGCGGTGGGGGAGAAATGGATGGAGGAGGGGGCTCCCCTGGTGGCGCAGTGGTTGAGAGTCCGTCTGCCGATGTGGGGGACGCAGGTTCGTGCCCGGGTCCGGGAGGATCCCACGTGCCGCGGAGCGTCTAGGCCCATGAGCCATGCCTGTTGAGCCTGTGCGTCCGGAGCCTGTGCTCCGCAGCGGGAGAGGCCACGGCAGTGAGAGGCCCGCGTGCCGCAAAAAAAAAAAAAAAAATGGATGGAGGAATATGAAAAACACATATAACTCAGCATGGTTATAATGTTCAAATAGTTACTCAACACTGCAAGGATATCTATTCAAGTCCTTTGTTTTTGCAAAAGAACAGAACTAGATAGGGCCAGAATGGCCCTGTACCATAAAAGGACTGCTATTATGGGATGTGGTGACCACCTATCCAGTAATGTGAAAGTGCAAAATGGGACTGGGGAGAAATCATAGTTGATTTTTTTGGGAGGAGGGTGATTTGGCAAGAAGATTCTAAACTAGGCAGGAAGCAAACAGCCCTACAGGATGTGATCATTCACAGGAAAGGAAGAGAAGCCTGGGCTGCAGCTGTGTGGACTGACCTTGTGTTCAAACAGGAAGGCTCACTGCCCTCCTCTACATAACCAATCAAGATCCTACGATTCCATGGTTATTTGTTCTCACCACTATTTAATTATGCTGGAAACTCCTTTTGGGAGCTGTCCTTATTTCCTGTAGCATACACTATTCAAAATCTTAAATGGCTTTCCTCTGTGAGCATGTGTATGCATTTTTTTGGTGATAATGTGCACATAAAATTTACCATTTTATCTATTTTAAAGTGTACAATTCAGGGACATTTAGTATATTCCCAATGTTGTGCATCCATCACCATTACCTAGTTCCAGAACATCTTCATCATCCCTAAAGGAAACTCTGTACCTATTAAGCACTCACTCTCCCCAATCCCACTTCCCCTGCAACTGCTTATCTGCTTTCTGTCTCTAACGGTTTTGTCTATTCTGTACATGGGCAAATATCCATATGCCTATGAATACTTTATGTAAATGGAATCATAC